TTCTCCCCTTCCTCCTTCTCCATCAGCTTCTCCCCTCCTACTTCTCCTCCTCCTTCTCCACCAGCTTTTCCTCCTCCTCCTTCTCCACCAGCTGGTGTCTTAGCTGAAGTGGAAATCGCCATATTTGAGCATATATGCGAAGTGCGCATGCACATACGCATCCTATAGTATATCATATATTTCGCAGGTCAGAAATTTCGCTCACAAAGACGAGCTGTGATTAGTCGGGTCGGGACGCACGCGAAGTGCGCATGCGCATACGCATCCTATATAATATATTTCGCATATATCATATATTTCGCAGGTCAGAAATTTCGCACACAAAGACGAGCTGTGATTAGTCGGGTCGGGACGCACGCGAAGTGCGCGTGCGCATAGGCGCGGGGGGCAGGGCTATCTCAGATATTTCGCAAGTCAGAAATTTCGCGCTACACCTGTCCTAGGATTTTGTTGAAATTCAATGCTATGACACTGCATGGACACGTTTAAAAGAGAGGGTCTCCGGAACTGTAGGGGGAAACAGTGATTTGCTTTAAAATCTATGCTGTAGCACTTGAACCAATAATTGTTGTATTATGTAGAGGAGAACCCCCCCCCCCTTCGCGTCGGATACATATTTCTGCAGTGGCACTTTTTGGGAGGCCACTACGGCCCTGTAACAATACAATTAATACACAGTAACAATACATACTGAACAATACAAAGGTTAATATGAGTGTCACTGATGTTTTTATTTGAAGATTGCAGTCAACTTAATTGATGTTCTTAGTAAAGCATTCTTGAGCTCCCAGAATTGCTCACAAACCTCCAAAATATACCAATTAGAAGTCCACCAGGTGAAAAATGTTCAGTTCACATCCCACCACCCAGGTTTTTCGTTTTATACGTTTGTCTGTTGAGCTTCATATGAAACGGTAAACCCACCACAGTTTCCATTAACCGAGACCTACTAATATAATTACCTACAGGAAAAATCCATTACATTTCATGTGTTTTTTTGCCTGCAGTAGAAAATGATTAAATAGTTATGAGTTGGTGAATGATTAGAGTGCTATATTAGTGGGAAATTATCGTAATGGATATATAGTTGTAGTAATACTAATATAGTTATCTGGTCAGTAATTACGTTTTAGTAAACTTGTGTACTAATTGCATTTTTATGCTACATATACAGATTATTTTAACTAGACAATTTCTCTAAGACTCTTTCTCTTCCTTTGTCTATTTCTTCATTTTTTGGGGATGATGATGGGGAAAGAGAGAAACGGGCGGCGGAGAGAAGGACGGGTCTTTCAAACTGCCAGGATATGGTATCTCTAGGCAACGCCGTAGATTGGATTGCTGCTTGCTTTTGAAAAGCTCGCACGTAAATGTAGAACACGCACACCAACCGCTCCGCTGTACCCCGGCATGTGTGCACATATTCCTGCGGCACATATAGTCATACTTAGCAGTTCTTGCGGTTTGGGTTGAAAGCTGACCGAGCCGACTGGCACGGGCTGTAAAACTACTGCTGTATGCCCTGCAGGCCTTACTTTATGCGCTTGACACCGGCACGCGGTCTTCTCACAGCGCTGGCCTTTATTACAGTCATTCTTATGATTCACGCGCAGTTCGCTGTTGCGTGGACGTATCTGAGACGCGTTTGACGGGGCAATCGCACTGTCCTCTAGTCAATAGCCATTTGAGTGCTTGCTGAAATTGGCGAATTCACTCGTTGACATGGCCTCGGTGTTGAAAACTCAAAATTCGCTTTGCTGTCAAACAGGGCCAAGGATGTACGTGTGCGAGTGGTGTAAGGTAATTGTTTTTTTAGCATATTTTTCCGAGCAGACAATACTCTGGCCTCGGCCTTTACTCTAAGGATAAAGCTTGGGTTTACAGCTCAGCATTCCACACTGTGTGTATCAATGTAACTTTATGACTTCAAAAAAAATCAAAATGATGATGACGATGATGATGATGATGGTGATGGTTAGCATCAGTATCATAATCAGTAGCAGCAGCAGCACTACTCTCATTATCAGTATCAGCATCATCACTGTCATCATCAGTAGCAGCAGCAGCAACAACACCAGCACCAGTAGTACAGTACCATCAACGTCTACATCAGTAGCAGCAACGGCAACAGCCGTAGCAATAAAAACGGCAATGTCATCATAATCATCATCATCATCATCATCATCATCATCATCATCATCATCATCATCATCATCATCATTATAATATCATATAATATTTATTTAATAATTGAGGGCTGCAAAATTAAGGTACTGTTCATTCATAATCCGTGTGATATATATTTCATGGGTTACTTAGTGTTACATGAGCTAGCTTTTACAAGCGACAGAACATGTGTTACTAATCTTACAAGCACAAACCACATAGGCTAGCCCGCCAGCACTGCACAGCAACAACACAATAGTAGCACACATTACAAAGCAGCAGCATAAATACAACACGCAACAGTAGCAGCACGGAGCATACAAAGCAGCAGCATCAATTGACACACGACAAAAACAGCAAATAAACAATGCACACAGCATTGGGAAAAATTACGATGTCCGAGCCATCGATATGTCGAAATCTGTGGTTGTATATTCTCTACTTGAATCCACCTATAGGTGTATTAGTAACGCCCAAGTATACTAACGCATTCCCAGCTGTACATCCATTCAGGATCGAGTGAGTTAAAGAAAATGCGTTTTTATTCACTCACCGATGTATTGTATCAGGCGTGTTTTGCAGGAGGCAAAACAGACGCGCGGAGTTACTTACTTACCTAGACTTTCTAAACAAACGTGGATATGTATGCAGGCCCGCCTATAATTTTGCGTTACCTAATCACCACTGCCATTCCCACTCTAATTAAGTCTTCACGAATCCCGATGAGGCAATAGTAGGGCTCGTTGAGAACCCTTGAATTTTTGAAATTTAATTCTGCATGATGTGTGAAATCGACACGTGGTCCTGCAGTGGCGGCGAGATTTGGCACATGAGTTACAATGTTGCAGTCTTCGGTGCATTACGTATAACGCAAGTGAAAAATATTTTGCGCTCCGAAATCCGAAACCGCGCGGTAAGGCCAAAAAATATCGATGTGAAAATTCTGCGCTATTACGGGCATACGGCACGCAACCCGCGTTTTGACCTTGCCTCGTTTCGGTTTAATGACGGTCGTCTTGTCCTCTGTAGCAACGAACGTATTATTTCCGGCCGTAATATTATTATTAATGAAAAAGATTCGCCGCATGCCTTCGGGTTTATATATTTTCATTGACCTTTTCCTCATTCGATTATTTTCGAGTGCAGAGACGGCAGCTCATGACGTCATCGCATCCATGGAAATGAGAAGGTTCGGTTGTAAACAAACTTTGCGTGGATAGATAGATGTATATAGCCTCTTCGACGCACCTGCGGTGTACAGCATCCAGAGCAAGTATAAGAGGGAAAACGTCTGCACCTATAAGCATCGCGTGATCGATATAAGAAGAATG